ATATTATTTATTTAATATATTTAATATATTATTTATTTAATATATTTAATAATATTATTTATTTAATATATTATTACATGTTTTCAAAAATTAAACCACCAAACGCAGTTTCAGTTTTTTTTAAAACTGAAATCAATCTCTAAATAAAACTACCAAACGCATTTTTAGAAATAATTCAAAAATGAAACTAAAAACGTTTTCATTTTCATTTTCGTACAGAAAATAAAAACGTTTTGGAACCAATTCCAAACGCACCCTATAATTATTAAAAGCCCCTTAAGGTGTAGTGAATGTCTGTTGAATATTAATTTTAATATAATTTTAATATAAACTAACTTAATAATTACTAAAATTAAAAAATATTAAAAAAAAATTTCAGGCTATTCGGGCGGGCTTGGGCGGCCTGGCCGAGTTCGGGCAGTCAAATATAAGCCCGCGGCTCGTTCAAGGACATTTTCGGGCTCGAGCGGGCAGCCTGAACTTTTGGGCGAGTTGGGCTCGGGTAAAAACTCAATATTTTCAGGCGGTTGCGGGCGGCCCGTCCAAAGTTTCAGCACTAGTTGGTAAGAGGTTGTAAATTCAAAAACAAAATTACTAAAATTGTGGACTACTATGGAGACTCTATTCTTGGCTACTTGCACCGGATTTGGGATTATGATTTGGGATGATTTCCTCAATAAAAGGAAGTAAGTTTATGGGGTTGATTTGGTTGACTTTTGGTGGCTAATTGATGGGCTCTATTATGTATGGAAAGAATCCTTGGAGGAGAAGTTGCTTTATTTAGGGTGATTTTGGTGGAAGAATAGATGAGACTATAGACTAATTTGGGTTGTATATATTTGGTTTGCAGCCATGAACGTAATAAAGCTTTTGAGTGAAATATTCTGCAGAAAAAAAACTGCTTTCATGTTTTTTGAGTGAAAAAAACAAAAGGTGGTTCTTCGGGAGAAGAACGCATTGCTTTCGGGAGAAAGTTTTCAAAGACGAGTGGTGCTCGCTGAACAAGGCCACTAAGGGGATTCTCCACAGCGGCGACAACATCAAGGAGGGAGTCTTTGACTGTGTAAGACCGATTGGTGTTTGTAATCTCTTTATCTTAGTGGATTGTTCACTGTCTGGGCGTGGCCCTGCAGATGTAGGTGTGCGCACCGAACTGCGATATCAATTTCTTGTGTCTTTTATGTTTCTGTTGATCTTTCTGCACTTGTAATTTGCTGATGCTGGATAAAAAAAATCCATTTGCACGTATCTGTCATCAGTGTTACAACTAATGTTATAACACTCTTTGTGACACCGACCAAAAAAGGGACCTAACATAAATTATTAATTTACTCAATAGAATTTTAATTGTTAACTTCCGCTTATTTACCACCAATATTCTTTTATATATATGTATGCATATATATATATATATATATATATATCCCAAGTAAACTTTTTGAACGAGAAACAAAAAAAAATCGTAATGTCAAGCTAAGATTTTAATATGCGACCATTGCATTTGATCGCTTTTGTGCTCTGTTCCGTTTATGTGCATGTGTATTAAGGACCAGAAAGTTTCAAACTTGAATAAGGCCTCGTTCGTTTCGCTGATTTGAGTTTAGAATTCGAGTTTTGTTACAGTAAAAAGCTCTCACAAACAGTCACATCTAACTTTTTTACTACAGTAAAAAGCTTCTCACATAAAATCACATCTCAACTCGAATTCTAAACTCGAATCAGCGAAACGAACGAGGCCTAAATATAGATAACAAACAATTTTGTTCTTGTTTAATGAGCTTTTTCCTTGCAACGCTTTCAAATACTATTTTCTCATGTGTGCCTCTTAAATAACGTTTTTCTTCTAAATTGCCAACTTTTTTTTTGTTTTTTGTTTTTTTTTTTTTTTTTCAAATGTACCTCTACATCCATTTTATAGCAGAAGGATCTCAAATCAAACAGGCATTAATTCCATTTGGGTATTTTGTTTAGTACATTCCATTCCATTATGATTTCAGTTACCATATACATTTCTTTCCGTTAAGCTAGCAATTATTTGTATTAATGCAAGAAGTCTAACGTTTTGCAGGGAAAAAAGAGGAAGAAACAGAAAAAAAAAAAAAAAAAAAAAAAGGAATTTGTGCAAAAACTGCACTATTTTTAAAGTATAGTTTTAGTTAATCGACACAATATTTTAAAATTGAAAGAAATGTTCCGTTTATGAAAAACGGGTAACTTACTGATTTTGAGTCAATTTTGGTGATCACTCATTTTAGTGGACTTTAAACATATGGTTTCATAGGAAAGAGATAAGAACAAATAAACTAATGTATGTAACGTACAAGATATTTCTTTTTTTCTTTTCTTTTTTTCGAACGGACATACAAGATATTTCAGATCAATAGGAAAGAGATACAAAACAATCTGTAGTTCTGTTTGGTTGAGGCCTGAAGGCTTGAGGCTGACATTTTTTGGACATGTATATGATTGTATATGTAAACGAATAGATAGTCACCATGTATTATCTAGGAGAAAAGTAAATAATCGCAGAAAAATAAAATAAAATTTAAATTGAACAAAAAAACCGAATAAGAGCACACATAATATTTATAACGATTCACTTTAAATGTAAGAAATACTTTCATTTTTTTCTCCTACAGAAAATTATTATCGTGAAAAAAACATTACTAAAGAAAATCACACACTTCTCAACACTTTTTGTGTTTTTTTTTCTTAACCTCCCTAATTGACGCTAATATCGTAATTGGAAGCTAAGAAATCAGATTGAGCTGATCTGTACTTGAATCCATTTCTTGGTCTATAAGTACACAAGCGGTAAAAGCCTGCAGACCAGATCGCTACCACATTCACAAAAATTGAAAAAGCTTACTTGTAAGAGTACCTGAAATTCTTCTTTGTAACTGTTTCGAAGACTACCACACTATGAATATCACTATGCTAGTTCTCGCCCAAAATACTAAACTTGAAATCCTTCCGCTAACAGCCACATTTCATCCGAACATTTGGGGAGGCCGATTTATCAACTGCGATTCGCAAGACAATATGGCAATATTTATTATAGTCATTACATGATAATATATATTATATGTGTATGATGTAGCGGAAGCGTAATAAAAAATATAGAAAATCAGATAAATTCTTATTATCCGTTGATTCGCTTAGAATATCAAAAAATCCGTTTATTCTATTAGAATACTAAAAAATAAGACTTATATAAACCTGTTGATTCGCTCACAAATACCAGGAACATAGGCATTAATTACTTGTTGATTCGACAAAATACTGAAAAAATTAAAATAGATATGTTGAGAGAATTCACAAAGCACATAATTTTATTAATCTCTAAATGAATTTTAAAAACAATGCCAGATCTCCTATTTATAGAAGACTACAATTCAAAAACGAGAAGGAAGCTAATTAAAAATAGAATCTAATCATATTTTGAAGATAGAAGCAAGCCACCAATCCTATCTTTGAAGATAATTCGAAAGAGAAACAAACCAAATATTTGAAATTTGAATATACTTTTTGCTGCAGAGAAACAAATGGATAAACAACAAGTTGCAGAACTAAAAGAAGTGGTAAGGAGGGAGTGTTAGCGTTTATGCCCTTAGGAATAAATGTAACAATGTTCTTTAAGACATTTTGACTATTAATAAAGATTTATTTATTTCATTTATCTATGTATTGTCCTCTTTAGGTTCATAATAGTTGAATGTACGATAAGCAAACTGAAAGTGTGAGACTGTCATTCTAAATCTTTAGGTCATGCATGTAATGTGAAGAACATGCGGAAGACATGAATTTAAAGATGATATTCTAAATCGTATGATCCACAATCGAGGGAATAAAGTTAGGCGCTTTATTCATGTTAAGATTGTTATGTTGTCTACTTCCTAACGGAAACGGCTTGTCTTGATTGTTGGAGGTGGGACTCCATGGGTAGAGACATTGATATAGTTTCTAATGGTGAAATCTATATTGGGCCGGACCAAAGTTGAACTGTTTTAATTAATAATTCCGTTTGAATAAAACAATTCACTTTTGACGAATTATATGTTGTCATCTTAATCTTGAGATGGATAATGAACTCGTATGCTTGACTTGTATCTTTTGATGTACCAAAGGGAGACATCTTGACATTATGTAAAGGTACGCTTACCGGTACATTGAGGGTATGACTCGTGTATCTGTAGATTCGTTATTCATAGATAGTGGAATTCATAACTCCTATAAAGACTCAATGATATCCTCTTATGCATTATATGTGGATTGAAAAATATGAGCCCTCGGCCATTAGATTACTCTGTGTTATCTAATGGTCTACTACTTATAATGGTACGAATAGTGGTTTTCTGATGGAGCGGTAATGGAACATAAGATAAATGTAATTGGGAAGGTAAAACAAAAGTTGACCTCAAGTTGATTATGGATATCATATGAGGATGATACATTAATATATTGAGTCATGGACGAAACTTAATCAGAGCTTTGTAAATGTGCTATATAAATCGAGAGTGCAGCTCTAGACTTTTAGTGGAGTAATGCTAGAGTTTTATAATCATGAGGCGGACTTGTTGGTTTACAAGTAGCATTGTGATTATAAGAGCTTGATTTATATATGTCCATCGGGTCCCTTTGCTAGCTCTCATAATTTCTGTTACGATACGGTGTATTTCCTACATATTGGTAACTTGTGTTATTTCTGTAAATGAGGTTCAAAGTTAATATCAGACTGGTTGATTAATTCATGAGTGATTTATCGGGTGAATTAATTGATAAATTAATTCTAGATAAATTGGTTGAATTATTGTTTTAAGAGCTATTTAGTATGGGAAGATTATTATATGATCATTTTGATCAAGCAACTTCTCTATTGGGAAACTAGGAAAACAAGTTTCACTAGTTCAGACAGGTCGACCGGTCCAGTCGACTAGTTCATGAAGGCCAGGCCGATCGGTGAGTTATAACGTCTCTGTCACCGGTCGAGCGGTTGTAACGTGTAGCGCATGTTGACGTGGTAAAACTAACTCTGTAAGCGAAATAAACTTTAGGAAACTTAATTGTTACGGAAATATGACTTTCTAAACATTAGCCCAGTAAGTCACATTATTCATTAGATCACTTGAGAGACTTTTTGGAGGCTGTTGGCAAAAGATTCTTGAGAGGAAAAATTATTTAATTCTCAAGAATGATTTTTCCTTTAGCTCTCTTATGGTTGGAAGGAGTTCAAGAATACCAAGAGGAGATTGAACGACGTGTGCCCACCCGCACTCCGATCGTGGAAACGAGAATAACCAAGAAGACCAGTTGGTTGAGGCTTTTCTGGTTGCTGTTTGTAACGCTTTGATTTGTCAGACATGTTGTTTTCTAAATCTCTAAGGGTATGATTTAGATCTTTAGTATTTATGTTATATAGCAACATGAACATGTTCTTGTTTGGCTTTGGCATTGATTTAAATTTTTTAAAATTCCGCTGCGCACTCAATGTCGTATGTTCCAACATGGAGGTATTATGAAATAATGCAAAAGATTCTTCTGAACCATTGAAGTTAATCGGTGCAGTTCAGTGTTTAGGAGTGTCATACCATTTTAAAAGAGAAATCGACAAACCACTTCAACATATAAACGACTCCTATCAAGATCATGCTCATGATAGATATTTGTATGATGTTGCTCTTTATTTTCATCTTCTAGGACAGCACGGTTACAATGTTTCATCTGGTCAGTTGTCTCAACAAGGCGAATTATAATTCTGGTTTTTTTTTTTTATTTTTCTTTTTGGCAAAAAATATACTTGGTACATCTGTCCTTGAACTTTTCACAATTAACAAGTTTTCCTTCTAAATGTTTTATTTGTTGCGCAAATTATTCCTTAAATTTAACAAAGAAATGAACATTATTTTGGGAATGGTGTCCTAAAAGAATGAGATGTACTAGATATTTATTATTTATTTAACAAAAGAGTTTATTCATCATTTTATGTGCATATATTTATGAATATTTTATGAATATCAAATGAAAATTCCATGATTATTTATGTGACCTTAAACATTGTATATAAGTGTTATATGCGAGAGGATAATGTTTATGGATAATAATAAAAAATAATATTCGTAATGAATTTAATTAAAGTTTATAATTTTTAATTAAAACGTTACTAATACATGTCATTCCCATTTAGAATGGAATGGTGTTATCCGCACTATTAATATGACGAGATATTGAATGAGTATATTACACATAATGAGATTATGTGGAATAGGGACACAGACACAATATGAATTTATGATAATTTTCGTTAAGTATAGAAATTCTAATTGAGTCTACCGATGGTCATATATAGAATGATCTTAATCTTGAGTTATTAGCAGACTCCTATTTATGGATTTGTGTCTTTTGATTTACTTGGTACGGATTTTGAAACCCTGAATCCTATTCATTGTATTTTAGAGACATAATGAAGTAGGTAGTCGGGAATGTTATTATACGAGATGGAATCCATTCCTTCTTGAGATAGAAGCAAATAAATAACTATCTTGAGTGTTGATTCAGTACTTGGATTAGTTAGAGTGCTCTAGTTCACGAATGTGTTTTACGAATCACTATCTATTAGAAAATCAATGGCACTTAAGGATGAAGATATAATTAGAGTTAACGGATTTTACCTAACTCTAATTATGAATTATTTATGGATGATTGATCTATATGCCGTAACTATATCAAACGGACACTTCACACTTTAGAAGTAATTTATGTCTATAATTTTGAGAGTGCAATTTCAAGTTTATAGTGGAGTAACTATTAGAATTAATAGAATTAATTAATTAAATTGTTTAATTAAATTATTAATTTTATTAGAGCTCAGAATTATAAGTCCATTAGTCCCAGCGTTGTCCTAATAATTCTACAAGACATAAAGGGAAAAATTGAAATTTTAGAATTAAGGAATTCTAAAATTAAACACTCGAGGATAATTAATTGAGAATTAATTATTATTTAAATAATGTGATTATTTAAATTTGAATTTAAATTTTGGATCAATTATGTAAAGGTGTTCACATAGTGTGAACGCAAGGCACAATGTGAACACATCTAGATTTATCAATTTAAACTTATTTGATAAGTTGTTCAATTTAGAATTCAAATTAATTTAAGTTTGACTTAATAAATTGGAATTTGAATTTGAGTCAGAATTAGACTGCAGGATAAATGATGATTTTCTCTTCCTTCTCTATTTGCTTTTGGCGCCTACTACAGGGATAATGATCCTTATCTTGGCCGGCCATATCAAGAGGATAAAGAGTGGGAGATTTTATTCCAAATTCAAATAGGAGATAATTAACAAACTTTATCTTGGAGATAAAATTGGATTCCTTCTAGGAGTTTGACTTATACTCTATAAATAAGAGAATTATAGAAAATTGTGTCTCACAATTTTTGCAATTATTTTCCATAGTGGCCGAATTCTCTAAAGAGTGGGAAGGAAAAATTTTTCTCCAAAAATTTCACGTCGTGCATGCGTTGGTGTTCATGAGAAATTCGAGTGCTTTACTGCTAATCCTATTTTGTCTCAGGTGTGCCCACACACTTCTTCGTGGATTCTAGGAATTGACAAGGAATACATTGGTTTTCTAAACTAGCTTTGGAGCAAGGAACGTTTGAGGTCAAAGAACTCAAGTTATCATCCTGCGAGTTCTTATTAAATAAATTAATATGATTAATTTATTTGCGCATAAATTAATATAATCTATAGAGTATCTCAAAAGTTTTATGAAAATTTTTGTTATACACGATCCACTACTCACACGCTTCTGCATCCGAATTCGAATCGGAAACCAACATAGTGTCTTCAAATTATTATTGACGACTGTTAAAATTTAGATGGAGGATACTAAATGGAGCACATAATGTCACATGTATGATAACATGTATGATAGTATTGATAATTCTAAGAATGAAACTGAGAAACATCGGCTAGGGATTGTTATTGAATTACATTGAAAAATAAAATGCATCAAGAACATAAAGGTTATATAAACTTACAAAATAAAAGAAAAAGACTATTCTACCCCTATTAAAAACTAATAATAATAATAATACTAATAATTATTTAACATCCCATCTCAAACTTACGATGTGCCTGCAATAAGCAGCGAGAGTTTGTTAGATAAAAACTGAAAACGCGAAGTGGAACGGGACTTCGTAAACAAGTCAGCTCTCTTCATATTAGAAGGAACAAATGATAGCACGAGAGTGCCAATTTGAAGATGATGCTGAGTAATGTGACAATCAATCTCAATATGCTTGGTCCGCTCATAAAAAATAGAATTGCACGCAATCTGAATAGCACTCTTGTTGTCACAATACAATGGAGTAGCTCGATGAATAAAAACACTCATATACGAAAGTAACCAACTTAACCAAACTATATCACAAGTGGTAGAAGTCATGGAACGATACCCTGCCAGTGGTGGACTTACAATCAATAGGGTCATTAGCCCAATCAACATCAGAATATGCACGCAGCTCTAAAGACGAAGTAGATGGAAGTAAAAGACTCTAAAACTGAGTATCACGAAGATATATCAAAATACGAAGAACATCAGCCTAATGGACGGTGATAGGCGAAGTAACAAACTGACTAACCATATGAACAACATGTGCAACATCTGGATGAATGAGAATAAGATAAACCAAGCTACCAACAACATTATGATATAAGCTAGGATCCAACAAAGAAGAATACCAAGCATTAAGTTCAATAGGTGTATCCACAGTCTTATTATCAACAAGACGAGCACGTTCAAATATGTTAGCAATACACTTAGACTGAGAGAGAAGGTAACCTTTCAGAGAGGAGGCGTCCTACTGGGAAAATAACCTGGTGGGCCCAAATCCTTCATTGTAAAATAATGAGCTAACTTTGACTTCAATGTTGTAATCCCATCAACATCATCACAAGTAATAATCATATCATCCACATTCAAAGAGAGCAGAATTCGAACATCAGTAGTATTTTTGATAAATAAGGCTTAATCGTGATAGCTAGAATGAAAACTAAGTGAAGTAATCACCGTAGTGAACTTATCGAACCACGCTTGAGGTGCCAACATAAGACCATAAATAGCTTTTCAAAGCCTGAAAACTTCACCAGGTTGATGAGAAAGCCCCCGAGCAGGTATCATGTAAACTTCTTCTTGAAGGTCACCATTTAGGAAAGCATTTTTAAAATCCATTTGAGATATGTGCCAGTGACGAATAGAAGCAACTGCAATAAGAGTGCGAACTATAGTCATCTTTGCAACCGGGGTAAAAGTCTCCCCATAATCCATACTATACTCCAAGGTAAAAAATACCCGTTAGCAATCAACCTAACTTTGTATCTTTTAATAGACCCGTTAGACTTGGTTTTGATTTTATAAACCCAACGAGAACCAATAAGTTCCTCGTAATTCTCATCAACAGATGAATTTTTACAATAAGGGCAATTGAGTCTTTTCATGTCCTAAAAAATGGCTCCGATGTACTAAGAAAAGAATATTTTCTAAAAGGTCGAGGTGCTGGTATGAAAGTTTTAAAAACAAAAGGTACCAAACTATGATATGCAATCAAAACAATATGATATGCAATCAAGAGAATAAAGTTGGAAAAATATTCCCATGAGTATTAATTCATGGAAAATAATTCCCATGAATTAATATCAACAAACCACTGCTTGACCTCTTGCACTATATTTGATCATCTTTTCGGCTCGATCACTCTAATACAATGACTGACTTTTTCAACCTAACAAGTAGAGCCGCAACGCTACTTCGAGAGAAGGGCTGAATTGTGTATTTTAAGTTCTAAAATAAAAATCCATTACGACTCCAAAGACTATAAATAGGAGTTTTAGGGTTATTTTTCATACTTTTTAATTGAGAATAGAGAGGAGATTATGTGGCAATCGAATATTGTCATGAGTATTAATTCTTGAACTCAGGTGACACTATTTATACTTTTATACATGCCGCTTATTGATGTTAAGTCAATTTGTTCCTAAATTGCCACTTTCATGTCAACTTTCTCCCTAATATCTTAGATGATCGAAGGAAAACTAACACAAAATCAATAGTTTGGGAGATATTTCTGAAACGACATTAGTTTACAGGGTGTTCTGAATAACTTTTCATTCTTTTTCATTCTTTAGCTAGTGAAATGAACCATTTTCAAAACTCCGGGAAATGTTCAAATGTGGTATCAAGTTCAAAAGGCATTTAAAATTAATCGAATAAAATAAGATAAGATAGAAGTGAATAGCATATCTTACACACCCCAAAAAAAAAAACTCAAAAATCTGAAAAAAAAATTTCCTAGGCCTCTTTCTTTTCCCAAAAACTGTCATGTCGTTCTTTTGTTGTTTAGTCTCATGTTTAGGGTGTTAATAAATGTCGTTTACTGCAATTTCTTAATTCATTTCTTCAACAGAATGCAATACACGTTATTTGTTATAATAAATTCCAATCTTGTCAATCATATTTATTATTTTCAAAAAGCCACTTCATGATATAGTTTTTGAAAGATATGAATAGAATGTCAAAGTAAACATCGATTGGTTGGAAAACTTTTGATCGATCATTCAAAGAATCATTTGCCAATTCCGCTATGTGTCCTTTCAATATATGAATCATTATATAGTATCGTCAATTATGTTATTTACAAAGATCACATAAATTTTCCAACAACAACATTATGTGTTTTCTTTTCCTAATTCATTTGATTTTTGGAAATACCAGATTCAAATGCGAAATTGACAAAAATATACCGAATAATTAACCAACTTGTTCATACACATGGGCGGCATATGATCCATACCTAATTTACAGTGTACTCCTCGATCCTTAAAATATCTTCCACATGTACAAGAATATGATTCCGATACAACTCATGAGAAAAACTCAATTTTCACGTTGATCATCCCAAAATTTTATCCTTTCTTACAATAATTCATTTCTTTCCTACTGCACATGTGTTTACCTAGATATCCAAGTTTAATCCCAGTTGGACGAAATCCGAACACACTAACCTAATGAGAAAAGTACATAGGTTGCCCTATTTTATGGAAACCTATTATTTATGCCATTCTAAATAATTGAGTGTCATTGTTGTCTTTTATTTTTTCTTATTAGTTAAGTGACAATTGTTTTTTTTAGTGGAATGATATAAATAATATTTTTACCCTCTTGAGTAGTATTTTTGGTTTTTTTCAATAAACTAAATTCAAACATTGCAAATTCAAGCCAAAAAGAAAAAAAATACTAAGATTTAATTTGAAACCATGCTGCATTGTTTGACGTTAACATGAAAGCCTAATAAGTGATTTATTTTTGAGAAAATTAGATGGTTTGTTATGGTTTTGTCAAAACTTATTTACGTCAATCTAAATAATTGAGTGTCATTGGGGCCTTTATTTTCTTTTTTATTAATTGAATGAGAATTGTTCATTTTTAAATGGTGTGTCAGAAATAATATTTTATTACAATCTTCGTGGTTCATAATACTTCCAAATGTTTAAGAGAAAATTATGTATTTTGCCTTCAAATCACCCAGCTCAGGATTTCTGCTTTTTTAATAAACAATACTCCTTTCACTTGACTTAAAAAAAATGTTTTTAAAATTGTTTCTGAAATGTCTATTTTATCCCTGATTTTACTAGAGCTGTAATTTCATATCTTCATTTTACTAGGTATTCTTAAAAACACAAATTAGGAAAATAATAGAAAACAAATAAGCGAGCATAATAAGTATTAAAAAGAACAAAATGAAAAAAAAATCATTTTACTTTATGAGAAATGAAAAAGAAAATAAAACAAAATGATTTGTCTTTTCAAAAATGAAATGATTAGAAAATTAAAAAACATTAACACAAAACAAAGGAAAGAAAAGGTAAAAAAGCAATCACCATAGAGCAAATAGCAAAGAAAATGTAACATACCTCTATGTAATTTTTTAGAATAGCTATTGAGCGGTAAAAATTAAAATTTTATGATAGATTTCAAAATAGTAATTGTTTGTAATTTGAGAATATCACATGTGGGTGTGTGAAGGAAAAAAAAATACAATATCATTATTTTTTATAATAATATTTTTTTATGTTATAAAGTCTATTATACTCATTCCTTTTTGTCATTTTATATAATTAGAATATTTTTTAAGAAGAAATTATAATTAAAAAGGGGAGTGGAGAATAAAGAGGGGTGTGTGAATAAAACCACCCATGGATAAATTGTTATAGCATGTAATTATGGTAATGACTACACTATAATAATGGATTCATATATGGTAATGATTTGGTTTGTTATGACAAGTAATGATTTTAAAAATCATTTTATTTCCATCTGATTGTTAATATTTTTGTATGTAAACAATTAGTTCTTTTGAAGGTCAATGTGTGTATGCAAAAAATGAGGTTTACACTTTTAGATTAGTTTAAAAGAGTATTAACTCAGAGCCCTTCCTCTCTCTACCCTGTTTCCTCTTTCTCTTTAAAAAATTCATTTCAAGCAAAACTTTCTGGCTAGAGGTCCGACACGTCATCTGGCCACGAAAACCTCATCCTTAACCTCACAGTGAGACTATTATTAAATAACATATTATATGTTATGATATAGAATATAATAATATTATTTAAATGGTTAATATAATTATAGTATTATAAAACATTTTATAATATTAAATAAGAAATAATAATATTTTGGTTATAGTATAATTAAATATTAAAACTATATTGTATTATATTATATTATATTATATTATATTATATTATATTATAATAATATTA